CGAAGCCCACTTAGCCGACGTCCGGACTCACTCTTGGATGTTGGTTCGGGCCTACATCCGGCGTGTGTTACTACCTTGAAATGTGCAGTTAATTTACCTGGGGCGCCGTTGTCCCAACGGACACTAGTATCTTAGCTGGCGAGTGTCGTTTCCCTCATTCTGATTGAACGAACCAAATTGCAGTCAAGGACAGGAAAGGTAGCTTCCGTTAATTTGTCCAGCTGACGGGGCTTCCGGAAGGGAATGCAACGCAACCATTTTCTCTTGGCACAGCTTTAGTATTTAAACTCTTGAACTTGGCATTGATGCTTGGTTCGATCGCCAAGGTCGTCAGCTGCTGTAGAAACCCATTCTGAATCTCTGTCAACAAACCATCTTCAAGATGGGCGTGATGAATCTCTTGGTTTCTGGCCTGTTACTGGTGGCTTCGGTTCAAGCCCAGAGCACTGCTCCGGCATGGGGACAATGTCAGTCTGCATTGCCTTTGGTTCCAAAACATCAGCACTAATATGACGCCAGGTGGAGGGCAGAATTGGACCGGCGCAACTTCTTGCGTGAGCGGATATACTTGCTCAGTCTTGAAGTAAAGGCCTCTGTCCACGAGAAGTATTCAATTACTGACCATAAATAGCCCTTACTACAGCCAGTGTATCCCGGGATCAAGCACACCAACAACCACATCGGCCAGAGTCTCAAGCACACCAGCCGTAACTGGCACCAGTACCCGTGCTACGACGACTTTTGTGACAGTGACGACAACAGCAGCTGGCGGCGGCGGTTCCGTCCCCACGACCCTTGTCTCGGGTTGGTACTGGATTCGTGCGGTCGCCTCGCCAAACTACCACAGCTACCTTCAAGCCAAGCCCACGAGGACGCCCAGCAAGGCCTATCTCGATTCGCCCAGCACCGCCGGTCAGTTCAAGATTGACGATGGTCAACTGGTCCACCTCACTGGATCGTCTTCGCTGTACCTCAACGTCGAGAACCCTGCAGACAAGACCCAGCGGAAGCTCGAGACGTGGTTTGCGACCACCAAGAACACGTACGGCACGTTCGCCTTCCAGGGCGATACACTTACATGGAGCACTCCGGATATTAATCGCCCTAACCTGGCTGCCTGGCTTGTCTGCGAGAATCAGGAAGTGTTTATCAACACGGGTGCTTACTTGTACCAGACGCCGGCAGGGTGTTACGATCAGACTGTGAGTGAAAAAAAGCTCCTACTTGAGCCTTCGTTTACTAAACTGCTCAGATACACTCTTACGGAGGCTCAACCGCAGACCTTTAGGCCCTCTCCATACCAGATAGACTCGTTCCGAAATCCTCATAATTCCATTAGTTCTCATACCCGTCAAGCTCCTCGCACAAAACTTTGCTCTAGACTGTTGTCTATGCATGGCTCTCTTCGATCTTCGTTCCCAGCTCCTTCGCAGGGCTTCTCATGACAGTCTTGGTGGTCACGTTGAACCAATGTTCTCCGACGTAAGAGACAACCCAGCCCCTGCCATCAGACAGCGTCACGTTGTCAAACTCCTTCGGCCCAAAGTGCCTCTCTCCGTGTAGCGCGCCATGGCTCGTGAAGGCATACCAGACGTTGAAATGCATGCCGTCGCCCATCGGTGTGAGGCTGAAGGTGATTTGGTTCGCGGTAGTGTGCTCGATTGGATCTTTGCAGACTGTCTCTGTGACTGTGGGAACTATGCGCGACGCGGGCATGTCTACCCGGCACAGCACAAGGCCAGAGCTGGGGGTCGGCCTGATGGTGAATTGGGCACTATAGAGATATGATGTCAGTCATTTGAACCATCGACGACTGATTTAAAATGTACGAACAAGCTTCCTTCTGCCGGCGTCTTGCCACCGGCAAACATTTGGTGAATCTCGAAGATTGGCTCTTGGGCTTGGAGGACCGGACTGCCGAGAGCCAGGCCTGGCAGAAGGAGAAAACCCAAGAAGTTGCGCATGTTGACGTTGATGACGAGAATGAGGTGATAGCTGTGAAGTTTCTGAATCTCTTGATTTGTCCGGGGCCTCAGACTGCTGTTGGCGGGGGTCCCTCGCCCCTTATATCCCTCATCACGTCTGTGAGAAAACCTCTTGCGCTCTTGGCAGGTAGTACACCAAAGCTGAAGCTAAACAACTCACGATGCGCCAGCGGAGATGCAAAACTTCCCACAATCTTTGCGAACGGCCGATGAAATGCCGCAAGCTTCACTTCCTCGCACCATCATGATGCCCCTGTCTTGCGAGCTCGGCGAGGCAGCCTCACCGAAGCTCCCAAAATAAGCCCACCATGTGACCATCGGAGTAATACCCGGGTGCAAACATCGAGTTGCCAGGGTTATACGAGGCTCTTCAGGGCTTCGTGCAACCAAGCAAGCCGCATCGAGATCTTCCAATCGGCTCGCCGCCCGGCCGAACTCACAGAACCCAAGAGTCTTGACATCCACGTGTAGCGACCGAGACAGGCCAGATAAATGTTCACGCACCACAGACGATGCTCGCTTCTCTTTAACAAACAAACTTTTGGTATCCCATATTTTTGACTATCCACATTCGTCTAAACGCTAATCGTACGGAAGACACTAAACTCATCTCCGGTAGCTACCAAGCTGCCAGTGATCTGAGGGTGCCAGTGCAGCTCCTTGACGTTGGACAGGTAGTGCACAAACAGCAGCTGAGGCGGTACGTCCTTGACACCGCCAGTGTCCTTGCTCTCCTCGTCGTCGAGCTCGACAGCCAAGTCCCACAGCGTGACGGTGTTATCGGCCGCCGCAACAGCGACGATGCTGTCGTCCGTGGGGTGCCACTCGACGCTCGTGATCTGCTCCTTGTGGTAGTTGAAGCTGGCGATGGGAGAGGGCTTGTCCTTGGCGGACGTCGAGCTCTGCTTCCACTGGCGCAAATCCCAAACGGCAAACTCGCCGTTGTCATCGCCAGAGGCGAGGAGATGCGTTGTCAACTTCGACCACGACATGACGTTGACATCGGCCGAGCTGACCTGCATCGTCAGCGCAGGCTTCCTGCTCTTGCTGCGCACGTCCCAAACGCGAATGGTGCCGTCGCTCGAGGCGGACGAGAAGACGGACTGTTCAGAGGGACTCCACTGGATCTCCTCAACGGAGCTGGTGTGGCCCTGGAATGGCCTGGTGTCGGTGACGAAACCGCCGCCATCGGTGCGTGTTGTGACATAGATGAGACCGTCGTTGTCACCGGTCAAGAGCTTGCCACCAGGGACAAGAGGGGACCAGTCCACTGCGTAACCCTCGGCCTTGTGGGCGCGGATAGTAGAGACTGGCTTGTTCTGTTGGGCGGTGATGGTGGTGCCCGGGTTGTCGAAGGAGTAGAGGTGAGGGGTAACGTCATGAATGAAGACGTTGGAAGATTCGGTCATGGTCGCGGTAAGGGTCGTAGGGGGCTTGGTAGGATCTTGGTTGGGGATCTGGTGGGCGCGAACTCGGTTCGTGGTCGAGTTCAGGGGGATCGCCTTGTGTTCGAGAATGGGGTCCGAGTCCTCGTCGTCGTCGTCGTCTTCATCATCATCGGAGTCCTCCTCGCCCCTCTCCATGCGGCTCAAGCCGCTGAACTTCATGACCAACAGCTCGTTGTCGTTCGCTTTGGCGTTCTCTGCTTGTGTACCGGCGACGGAGTACATGGTGGCGGGGTAGACCTTGCGGTTGTCGCCAAGGCTGTCTCGCAGGATATCGAAGGAAAGGCACGGCCAAGGAGTGCTGATGTTGTGCAGCATCTGGTAGGTAGATGGGTCTGGCGCGAGCGACTGGCCGGGTTCGAGCTTGTTGCGTCCGACGATGAATGTGCCTTGGTCAACCTCCATTGCGCCTGATCTGTCAGTCTGTGGACGGTCGGGGGGATCGCAAACTTCTTACCCTCCTTCTCCTCGGCTTCTCTCTCGGCATCTGGGCGGCCGTCAACACCAGCCTCCATGATGCCATCCTCACTCTCGCTCTCGAATTCGTCCTCGAATTCGTCCTCGAACTCGCCCATGCCGGGGTCCTTGTCGTCAATCTCCATGCCTTCAGGGCGATCGCCACCCTTGAGGGGGGCATCGCCCATTTCGACGTCGGCAGCGCGCTTCGACATTATGCAGTTCTTTGGGGGAGATATTAGTGTCGAAAAAGAAGCGGCCGGTATGCGCTGCGAATTGTGAAAAAGCAGTGCTGCAGAAAAAAAAAATTAAGGCCCCGCGATTTGTGGCGCGTGCCGGCCGATAGGTACCCCGCGTGGCGCTAATCTGCGCCGGGAACCGTTGCGGTGTGGCTTGAATAAAATATCACGTGGCTCAGTTCCCCCGACGCGTCGCGCTTTCCATTGTCTCACTGGAGTCACATTGCCTTCGGTGTTGATTGCCCCGCCATAACGAGTGACGGCCTGGCCTTCCATCTTGACGGCATCGGGCTGCTTCTTAACCGACCACCGCACTCTCTGCTGGATCCAGCAACGCCTCTCCCCTTGACGATGTCTCCGAGAAGAGTATCGTCATCATGGCGACGCATCAAAACACCTTCAGCGTGATCTCGAATGGCGCTCCAGGCGGTGCTCCGAGTCGGCCGCCCATGACGTCGAAGCAGGCCCAGAAGCTCTACAAGCAAGCGAACAAGGTTCCTCGACGATCGGAAGCCGAGCAACGAAAGTGGGAGAAGGAGAGGCAAGAGGAGATCAAGAAAGAGCTGGAGCGGGAACGCGCTGCTGTCAAGGCAAAACAGGCACGAGATCGAAAGAAGGCAAAGGAAGAGGAGGCCCGCGAGAACCGACGACGACAAGGACAACCCCTAGTTGATTGTCGTCCCAGTCAAGATACTATCGCAAGATTCGTACGTGGGAATGGGACGAGCAGAAAGAGGGACTCGTCGGGTGAGCCGATCCCCGAAACCGAGAAACCCAACGTCGCCACCGCGACCAAGTTGGCAGATCATGCTCCCACCAGCAGCCAGTCGATACGCTCGCCCCGAAGTGCGGCTTCTCAGGAGCGCCGGGTTTCTATGCCGCCGCCAGTGTTGAAGACAAATCCCGTACAAGCACCACAGCCGCCTCGTGTGTTTAAAGCGCCGGTAATTAAACCGGCTCAGGCTGGTTCTACTCATCCCACACCTGTGGAGAATCCACCGAAACCACCTCCAAAGTCAAGAACGAAACGATTCATGATGCCCAAAGGACTTTTGCCAGGCCAGCAGCCCACACATCCTAAGCCCGTTAAGCAAGAGAAAAAAGACTCGGTCAAGCAAGAAAATGTTTGTCTGGAAGCTGTCAAGAAAAAGGCAGACACGGCTCAACTAGGAGACCAGAAGCCTCTCGGGCCACGTGCGCCAACACCCAAGTCCACAGATGGAAAGAAAAGTGAGGGAAAGCCCTTGAAACCGCCAATTTCGCTCGAACTAACCCCGGCTGAGACTTCAATCTCTGGGACTAAACGAGTTGCAGAGGGGCAGATGGAGCAGAGATGCAATGAGCAGGAGCCAGTTCAGCATGGCCTGGTTAAGCAGGTGCCGGTTGAGCGAAGGCAAGCAGTTGAGCCGTCAAAGATGCCTCCGCCACCAATACCCTCGCCGCAACGACCTACTTGTCTGATGCCGCCGCCGAATATGCCCCCTCCTCCAATTCCTCGATCGCGAATGACTCCCCCGAAAGTGCGCTCTTCGCAGGCGCCATCACCGCAGGAGTTGTCGCCTCAGAGGCCGCCGCCGAGCACCCAGGCCATTATCCAGGACTGCTTCGACGACTTCTTTCCGACAGCTTCGCAGTTGGCCCTGGAACTCGAGGATGATGAGCCTGATGAGAATTCACAAGCCTTCGCCCAATCTTCTCTCAAGGAATACGAGTCTCCTCGGTTTACCAGCTTGGAAAATAGTCTACCAGAGCGAACGCAACGGCATGTTCTGGCCCGGCCGGTGATCAGCGATATGGCATCACATCAAGCCAAGAAACCCCGTACTGAGGGTGTCGTCGAGTCTCACAAAAGCTCAAGAAACTCTAGACCAACTGCAAAGCCGTCCAGCGCTTGCTTCACCAGCGTGCACCACACGCCACAGGCAGAACTGCCTACCACTGCCAAATTTCAGACACCTGATCCCAAGCAACGAGGGAATCAATGCTATACAGAGAAACCAAACAGGGGCTTGCCGGGTCGAGCACCTTTCGCGCGCCCGGCCCCTGCGAAACCTACACCTTTCAGAGAATACGGCCAGACGACAACAAAACCCATCAGAAACGACCACCTGCACAGGACACCGATAACGCCCAAACCCAGGGGCATTCTACAGGAAATCAGTCGCAACCGCATTCCTCAGCCGAAGCCTCCGGCCGCCGCGAAACTTGTATTCGACGACTTCTTCCCCCTGATTTGTACTCAGGATTTGATGATGTCGTCGCAGGAAGTGTTGGAGATAGAGTCCCCGGCGAAGGTGGATAGTGAACCGTCCTCCGGAGGTTCGCTGGGAGGTCCCGAGTACCAACCATCACCCCTGACTGAAATGGACTTGGCGGCTATTGATTGGGATGACGACTTGGATGACTTTTGAGACGCATGGAAAAGCATTATCAAGGCGTTTAGGCGCCCCGTGAGACATAGCAGCATTTTGAAAACGGACAAGTATTATAAACGATAACATTGAGCATTTCAGGGGATGGTGGTGCAGGCGTTGTATACCCTTAGAACAAGCAGGACACGAGTGGGTCTTGGAATGAATAGCATGAATTTCAGCGACATGATACCAAGTGGTATATTCATCCTGGTTAAGGATATCATAATCAGATTTAGCCCTTGTGGACTCTATACACAATAACCTCAGAGTGACCGAGGCCTAAAGCTATGTAATGTGGATCTCTGTCATGTATCTCTCAGTTTCCTAAGCCTTTGAGGATCCCATCTGATACTGATGGCCCCGTGGAAACCACTGACGCCCATGCAGCGTGTAAAGCAACGCAAAGTCAAACCTATACCATGATCGGGGGAATCTCCGTTCCAGTGAAGCCAACCTCCCAATTCAAACGCCGAGCCAATGCATCCCGCTAACCCGGATGACGCCAACCCTCTGCCTGTGGCTGCCAAGCCAGCAATCCTTGCGATCATCGCCGCGAGAATCAGAGATAAATACCAACCCAAGAGCCCTTGTTCCCAGCTTGAGTGTCACATCCATCGACCGAGCAAATGATCTTACCCTCGGGGTTGGATGGTAAGCCCGTGTTTCGGCGCTTGGCCGTTGGTTTGCGGTTCTCGAAACATTCCTCACAGTACACCTAAATGAAGTTAGTCTCAACCTAGATTCTCTGCATATGGGACGGGACATCTTACATGTCCACAATTCTTTAGGGCCCAGAAGTGGTGCTCGCTACGCTGCCGCTTGCCCTTGCGTGATGGATGACTTTCGCTCGCGGGGACGTCGGGATCGTAAGCGAGCTCTTCGTTGCAGCACGGACATATCACGACCATGTCAGAGCCTGTGTCTCTCGTGTAACCTGGCTTCGCAGGAGGCGGAGGCTGGTGTACGGGTTTTGGGGATTCCGCGCGGTCGAAAGCGTTGTGTTCGTACTGCAGCTGAATGTTCCCGAGCGGGTTGTTAAGGTCGCCTGGGTTGATCCGATTATGCAAAATGCCGAGAAGCTGAACGTCCTCCTCTTGAGCGGGAAATAGACGGAGCGGGTACAGGTGTCTCCTTAGTCCCGCAGCCAGACCACTGAATGCGCTCGCCGGGTTGTAAGGCATGAAACCGCCTCGGTCTCTGTGCTCCCGATTTCTCCCTGGAATTGAAGGCAACTGTCTATCGGGTCGGCGGCGCGGAACTTCGGGAGAGTCATCCGTAAGGTCAATCACGTTGGGTGCGTTGCCGGCGAGGATGCTGCTGTCGCTTCGTGCAAGTGCTGGAGGGTTGCGTCCCTGCGAATTCTGCCGTCGAGGATTCACGCTTGGTCGTGGCGCATGGGATTGAACGGGACTGTCTGGCTCGTTCGTGAGGTCGATTACATCAGCTGGGCCTTGCTGGTTCTGCTGAGCTCTGCGTTGGGGTCGCTCCTGCCTAAAGTACAGTTCCAAGTCGACCAGCACATCGGGACCTGCACCTGCGCCGTTCGCGGCGTTGGCCTGTCTTGGTGCTGCCATATTGCCGGGGCGGTTGGGTCGTTGTGCTCTGTGTTCTATGAGGGGCGGCAGTCGATCGTCAAGCTCGTCTAATTCGGCAAGAAGGGCAAGCTCGAGCTCGCCTTCGAGATCAGGGGACAAAGGGTAGGAATCGGGACGAGAAAACAAGTCGGCGTATGGGTCAGCTGACGAGTCCCGAGAGGGTGATGTGTCTAGGTCTGAAAGCGGCTCTGGAGATTCGGACAGCTCCTCCGGGTCCCAATCGTGTTGTGCGTCGGCTTCAGAGTCGAAGGAGGGCGAACGCGGACCCAGTCGATCGGAGGGATTGGAGTTAGGGTCGGAGTGCTCAGAGACCAAGTCCTCAGCAGCGGCAAAGAATTCGTTGTAGGCCTGAATGTCGTCGTCGTCGACTGCTGGGATATCGATATCGGAGGAGAAAGGTTCAGGCGAAGAAGGTTCAGGCGAAGTATCTAGACTCATGATCCAGTTCCGAGCCTGGTGGGTTGGCGCTAGAGATGTGTTAGTGTCCTAAGCCCGAGTAATGCGAACAGAGATGTGTGCACGAACAAACCGTGTCGTCAAAAATGCGCAGAGCAAGGTCCAGGGAAATCCAGGCCACAGGTAGCTGTGAGGCGTACCTCTGTACGTCAGGTACGGGTCGTGGCGCTGAGTCGCGGCTTCTCGGTGGAGAAATAGGGTAGGTAGGAGTGAATCTCCTACGACGGGCGCGAAAGTTGTGCGACCATCCCGTGGGCAAAGTCGTGCGCGGTCGGATTCCCAGCTGCGGAGGCGGCGAAGTTGTCGGGGGTATGGTGTTGCTGTTGAGAGCAAGTCTGGTGGACAAAGTGCACGCAGCCTCGAGATTGCCTCCAGGCTGGGTGAGAGGTGTTGTTGGTGGCGGTTGCGTTAATGTTGTTTAGATCCGAATGGATGGACGGAGCACCCGACACTGAACGCCTTAGATAAGCTCACACGGTGCAGGGGCGATTGAACCCGATAAGCTGGACCCCTCTGCGCCAATAGGGAACGTGGGTACCTGCCTGCCGAAGGGATGTCGCTAAGCGAAGAACCTTGACAGCGCCCATCACAATGACGGTGCAAATTGGCGTTAGGCCTACGGTGCTTATGTCATACCTTGGCCCCCAGGAAAGGTTACTGCCTTAATAACTCACTGAGTGTGTAATCGTCTCGGTGGTGATTCACTGGGGGCGAGAGTTATGTTAGATGCTGGGCTGTTCTCAACCAAGGTGCCTAAGGTAGGTAGGCCCGGGGAATTACTGCGCACCAAGATCGACACATGGCGACGGCCAATGCCCGGCAAATGCGCTCCGTCGCAAGAAAAAATCGAGGCTATTACCCCAGACAAACAACACTCCTTATACATCCAATATGAGCCCAAGACGTCGGATATCATTTTGATAGACTTGTCCGCCCCATTACTGCCTATAATACACATGCGGCAAATCCGGATACTTCCAGCAACTTTTTATTCCGCCTTAACTCCAAACACAGAAACGACGCCATCCTCACTGACAGAAACCAGCTGTTTGGCTCCAGGGCCCCATTTCACAGACGCCACTGCAACGGAACTCCTGAAAGGCTCCGACCATGCCTTGGAGCTCTTGATGTATTGCTGAACAGTGACACCTCCCGCACCGCCAGTGGCTAGGAACTGGCCGGTGTAGTCCCACGCCAAAGACTGGACAGGTCCGCCCGTCTCCAGCGTCTTGGCTCTAGCAGCGTCTCCCTCCTTGCGCAAGTCAAAAATTGTAACCGAGCTCTGGCCCTTCGCCGTAGCCGCCAGCCAGAATCCGTTTTCTGAGAAAGTCACAGCCTCAACGGGCGCGCCAAGAGAGAACGCAGTGGCGAACTCGAGGCTTGCCGTGTGAAAGAGCTTGATCTCGCCGGAAACCGTACCAGCGGCGAAGAGGTGGCCGTCGGGGTGGAAAGCAGAGGATGTCAAAGCTGCGGCAGTCAGTGATGGGCGCAAAGACTTATGCGACGGGCCAACAACTTACATGCGTCTGTGTATGCCCTGCTGACTCTTCTCAAAGCGTGAAGATCGTAAAATGCAATGCTCTTATCCGAACCAACGGAAGCAAGCAGCTCACCCGTGGGGTGAACGCTGAGCGACGTGGCAGGTCCAGCGTGCTCGGAGAGCGACGCAATTTCCGCACCACCCTCGAAAATCTTGACGGATCCCTTGCTCGTGGCAAAGATGAGCTTGCTTCCAGTCCAGGCAGAGTCGAGAACAGGCTCATTGACTGCAACCTGGCGTTCAACCTGCTGCGCTTCGACCGAGTATATCGCCGCCTGTCCATCACGGGCACCAACGGCAGCATAACTACCCTCGAGGGCAAGAGAGGAGGCTTGCGAAAGGGGTGTTGATGTGGAGGCCACAGTGTCCAAGGAGGCGATATCATCGGGGGTAGCCCAGCCCTCAGGAACTGGACGCTTCTTGCGACCCTTGGACAGCCTGCAAAGTGTCAGTCAACCGTAGCAATACACTCATCCTTGGAAAGACATACTCTTGATGCTTGGCGCTGACCTTCTCAGCCAGCTCTTCGGGAAGAGCTTCGGCAGAGTCGATAGCCATTGCATCTCCATTTGTAGCACCAGCGGTGACGCTGACCTTAGACAGCGCCTCTCTGGCCTCATCCCTCTCTTTTGTCAATCTGGCGATAACCCTGACGGCGGCATCGTGTTGGTACAGAGCCGTAGCGAGCTCCTCTCTCGTTCTTGCCAGCTGCTCCTTCAAGTTGAATGTCTCCAGAGCTAGCGCATCCCACTCGTTCTGGAAGGTCGCCAGCAGCGCTGGGATAGAGGTAAGGGTCGGGGGTCGAGGTCGGACGATGTGCGACTGGGTCAACGGGAGGAGATCGTCGGCCGTCAAGGCTTCGCCGGTGACGGGCTCGGTGCCGTTCTCTTCGATGTACTTTTCGATCAAGCGCTTCTCGAAGACGGTGCCTGTCCGTTGTTAGCCACATCTGTCGGGCGCAGCGCGCGACTACCTACCCGACTTCTTTGAGGCAACGGGCTCCTGGGGAGCTTCTCCCGAAACTGAAAAACGCGTCAGATACTTCCAATTGAATTGAGAAAGATAGTCACTCACTTGCGCAAAGCATCTTATCAAACGTCGCGATGTAATGGCCGTTTGATGGTTCGCGTCGGCTGTTCTCTCCAAAACAAATCTTCAGCCTCGATGCCTGCCTGGTAGTAGCAGCTGGCGGTGGACCCAGAACTTCAGCACGAGCCACTCTATCACGTGTGGCTTATCGATCATATCTTATCGTCTTATCGAGCCATGATATCACACCCGTCGCTCAGTTGGCACCTCGGCATCTTTAACTCACTCTTCAGAAAGTCAATTCAGTAATACTTCGTCCCAAACTACGGAAATACAGCGAAAATGCCCTCACTCCCCGACATCAGTACTCTCGTCCAGCTCTCTGGAGAGGAGCAAACCAAAGTCCTCGATCTCCTCTTCGAACCAAGCCCCGCGATTCACGCTTTACTCCTCCCCTCGTTATCCGTCGCTTCATTTGAATCCTACAACGAACTGATCGGCCATTGCCAAAAGATTTTTGAGGCACTCGTCGCCGATCCCTCCCACAAGACCGAACTTCATGCGATAATCGGGTCACACCCTCGGTTGGGTGCGAAAAAGGTTGAGAGCGCTCAATCTGTCGCTGAGCAGGCCAAACTACAGACCGGCGATGGCACCGAGCTGGCTGCGCTGAACTCGGAGTACGAGATCCGATTCCCTGGTCTGAGATACGTTGTCTTCGTAAATGGGAGGGGCCGTCCTGAGATCATGGAGGACATGCGCACGCGCATCGCCCGCGGCGATATCGCTCTGGAAGAGCGCGCCGCGGTAAAAGTGCGTAGGCCGGAGCCGCCCGAAGCCCGACGTTATTTGCTAACCTGAGCAGGCCATGTGCGATATCGCAAGAGACAGGGCATCCAAACTGCCGGCGGCTTCTCATTGAATGATTGAAAACGTATCCACGTCGACGAAAGGGTCTCCGCTCGAACGAGTCCCGAACGAATAATGTCATCAGCGAGCAATAAGCGGTGCCAGGAAGGAAGGGCACCGAGGCCTGAATTCAATACGGCTAGCCCAATGTAGTTCCCCATATCTACGGTGTCTATCTAAGTCCATCTTGTACGCCGCATGTCTCCTACAACTTCGCACTCTCCTCGAGCAACTTGAGCAGTCTTCCGACACGCTCGGCCTCTCTATACCCGCTGACGACGGCTCCAGCAACACTGCCACGGTGCTCCATCTCGGTGTGCTCTCCGGCAAAGCCAAGGCGCCCGTCCCAGACAGGCCTGCTCAGCTCCTTGAAGTCAAGAGGACTGCGCTCGCCGTTCTCTGAAACGATAGAGGGAGTTGTTGTTGCACCACGGGAGTACTCGTCAGTCAGCCAATTAGTCAGGCTGGTGTCTGTCGGCTCTGGGGGTTGAGAGGACGGCTGGAACCGGGAAATGAGGAACTTGTGGAAGGCGGCAGCTACATCCTTCGAGTCGTGTTGCAGAAGGGCGGTGGCAGGGGTCTCTGAGAGATAGGTCAGAAGAGTTGGGCTCGGGCCCGGTAGCGACGGCGCCGCGAAGTTTGCGGTGACCAGAGTGGAAGCCTCGAAGACTTCAAGGGGCGTAGAGCTCTCGGTGACGGGCTTAGTGGATGTGGGCAAGAAGGTATAGGAGCCGGCCTTGTCGGCCTCGGGCCACCAGGCACTAGGGTATTGAAGCAGAAGCTTCTCGAGGACGCCGACGTGGGTGCCCTTAATCGCCTCCTGAAATCGGGGTGGCAGAGCGGGACTGAAGGTGCTCTCGGGAAGGGTCTTGAGAACACCAAGAGGGATGGTGGAAATAGCCGTCTTTGCCGTGAACTTGTTGCCGTTGGTATCCGTGACAACGACGCCGCTCTCACTCTGAGATACACCCGCAATCTTGGTACCCAGCTTCACCTCGACACCCTTGGATTTGGCATCCTCGACGACCCTGGTGACGAGAGCCTGGTAACCTCCCTCGGGAGCAGCATCGGAACCTGCAAATGCCGTAGCACCCTCCCAGCCAGCCCACTTGAGAGAAGCCTTTTCGAGCTTGAGGCCCAGCGGGACCTCTAGGGATCGAGCGAGAGCAGCGGCCAGTTCCTTTGAGGATTTGTCAGAGGCTGTTGAGAAGAGTACCGAGTTGGGTGCCAACAAGGCAGATGCCAATGAGGCAGACGATGGGGGAGACGGGCTGGGAAGCTTGGTAGAAGCCTGAGCAGCACCTAAGCCTGAACGCAGGCTGTCGGCACTAGAACTGGAAAGGCGGCCTTCATGTCATCAGCTATGGCAATTCTACTCCAGGTCAAGACGTGAAAACGAACCATTGGGGCCATAAATCACACCCTCAGCAGGCTGGGGCAGGTGAGCAGCCTACTCATCTCATTAGCCTGACGCCAGTCATGCATAGGTAATCGCATCGACTTACAACACCGAAATCCTGAGCGATATATCTAGCAGGGTTTCCTTCCCGGTAACCGTGAATCCAGCTGCATCCAACATCAACCTTGACATCTCCCTTGACCCAGGTGTTGGCACGTCCTCCGATTCTGTCTCTGGCCTCTAGGACCAGGACCTTGCGTCCCTTGCCGGCGAGCTCGCGGGCGGCAACAGCGCCGGACCAGCCAGCTCCGATAACGATGGTGTCTAGTACTTCTGCCATGATGCTGCGAATAGACATATGTACAGGTCAAAGGGAACACGAGAAGATGCTTATTGAATCAGACGAAATCCGGGGTGGTGCTTCGCCTGATTAAATGAACCCCCGCCAAACACCCCGCCCGTCCCCAACGCTGTAAAGGCGGCGGGGGCGGAACCTAACCCGGGGAGATGTCCGACCGGGCCGACCATCGGAACCGGCGGGGTCTTCCAGGCGCAAAGGGCCCCTCCCTCGTCTCGAGGACACACCTGAGCTTGCTCCAAGTTCCGTTTCCGGCCTAATTCCGGCGATACCCAATGGCATCATATCTTGAGGTGAAGTTGTCTTCGCCAATAGACAAGGTTTTCTGCGTATGCTGTGCTTCTTGCCCTCAACGCGCTTTTTTCCCTTTTCGTGTTGAAAAGTGCGTCTTCTACATCAAGTCATTGAGTGATTGAGAGGAGATTGAGCAAGCTAGAAAGCCGGCGAGGTTTGTATACGGTCAATGACAGGCGTTGCGGCCTTTTCTCTTATTCTGTGCGAGTATGCTCACTATTTAGTCAAGTTTTGAACTTCGTTATCATCCTCACATCTTTTCGTTCTTCCTGACGTTCTTCTGACGTTCTCGCGTTGTTCATCAATTGCATGACCACCTTTGAAGAACGCGCTCCGCTTCAGATTGGCCTAGATCTTGCTCTTCAACTTGAGCAAGCAATATAGTTCCGAACACTCGGCGGCCTTGCGATCTAAGCTTCACCGCCTCCCCGGCATCACCGGCCAACCCACGATATCCCGTCCAGCTCATCGAGATACTCCTCATACGAGCCATCATCCTCACCATCTCGGGCCTGTGCCGACCCGCCGAAGATGGCACCAAAATCTGAGTATACGTCTTCCAGGTCGTCTTCGTCAGCCCAAGCGTACTGGCAGTCTTGGTCTGACGTCGGGAACGCCAGAGGAGCGTCGTCATCCAACTCTTCCAACATGGTCTCGGACGGCGTCAAGTTAGGCGAGCGGGCTGGGTGTAAGCGTGGCGATTTCGGCAACGTGCGTGTGGACTGCGGCGTCCTCGGAGGAGACGGTTTCCTCTCCATCTGCGTCGACAGTGCACTTGGACCAGGAGTATTTATTACGCCAGGGCGCATCAAAATTACCCTCGGAGGTGGCTGTTCCTGTCTCTCGGCAAGTGCAGAAGACGGAGCGACGAACCTTGCGCCGGTGGCAAGCTGTTGGCCGTGGTGAAGCACGGCAGCATTGGCAGCCGCAACGGCAATGACGACGTCGCCCCGTTGCGTCGCCTCGTTCCGCACTCGGAGTCTCACTCTGTTCAACACGGCCGCCCGCAACATTAACGAGCTCTCACGGTTGAAGCCCGGTTTCCCGTGCTCCGGCGAGGTGGCCACCGCAGCCAGCTTGACGAACCGCTTATCGCCCGAAGCCGCACCGTCACGGTTGATGATGTGGGTCGCGGGTAGCGAGTACGGCTGAGACAGCCGGCTGGTGATGAGATGAAGTCTCAAGCGACGCTTCTTGGAGCTCAGGGCGGCCGTGTGTGGTCCGTCGACGTCTGAATCTGGCCTGCGGCGTTTTTCGAGCTTGAGCAGCGAAAGTTGTTTAGGAAAGTCAAAGTCGGCTTTCTCATGTTTCTCGCTCAAAGTAACTGCAGTGTTCGACTGCTCTCGGGCTGAGGAGGAGGAGGGCTGTTCAGTCGCTGAGGTAGCCTTCGGTGAGGCCGTTGCGAGGAGCTCAAGACATTGTATCAGGGGACTCTCCGCGTCTTTTGGGGCACGGGTTTGGGATGAATTCGAGGGGCAGCCTCCATGGTGTATGGAGCACTGCCGTGGCACCAATGATGAGAATAGGTCGCTCCCAGCGTCCGAGTCGATGGTGTCTTCGCATCCCGACCTTTCAAGCTGCCATGTCCTGAATGGTTCTAAGGTCTGGCGGTTTAGAGACCCGACTTCGAGCACCATATTTGGGCTTTCCGCGATGGTACTTTTCTGGAGTGAAAGTATTGTGGAAGATTTGCTGACGTCCTAGTCCAGGCCCGCGGGTTGCACTGGAGGAGGACTCGAACGATCAAAGTCGTCTCATTCCCCACATCCGCTCACTGAGTGCTGAGCTTGCTTTCATACACATCCCACTCGAAAGAAATGACGGACAGTTCAAGCGAAGGTGACTACGGAGCAAAGCGTCTCCAGAAAAAGAAGGAAGACAACCAGAAGGAGTCTCTCTTGGCCGGATAGAAAGGAGGACCCTTATGTCAAGTGACGGGCGTGCGGGCTGAAGTGGGGAGGACGGGAGAGGCGAAAAGGCTAACTCGGGGCCGCGACTGCAAGACAAGCACGAGACCCAGTCTCCTACTTATTTTGCCGGATTCCTCTTACTACCGCCGCAGAGGCACAGAAAGTGTGGAGAGGCGGAGAAAGAGAGA